ATACTTAGGATCCTATAAGGGGGCCCCAAAAAGGAACTACAATGGAGACTACAGGTAGATCATGAAGCAGTCACAAGCTCCTAAACCTCGGGCATCCAGACAGCCGATGCATCCCGCAGAGCCCTGAACCCTCAACCCTAAACTGGGTAGGCCCTTGGGACATTTTATGTTTTCCCTTATTGGGCCTCAGAGGATCTTAATTACGAGTATTTTTCAAAGGCTTTAAAGGGCCAACCTAGTAAACCCAGAGGTCCACTTTCCAGAATTGGCGAACGGAAACGGGATCCCTATAATTTCTATATTGGGGCCTTAGGGTTTAGAATAAAAAAATACAAACACTGCAAGTCAAGTAGGTTTATGGTAGTTCAAGGTAGGCTTCGGGACGTCTGCCAAAAAAAGCCCAGAGCCCAAAGCTTCACAGACGAAGGAGGCTCTCAGAGGTGTCTGAATCCGAAGTCCACCGCCCCGACATTCACTGTCTGGTGCGTAGTAGGGAATAGGGGAATGGGTTATAGGGACCACTATAAGGGACCTTAAGGGACTATCATAGGGATGCATTCCCCCATTCCCTACTAAGCACCAAACCCTAAACCCGAATCCCTAAACCCTAAACCCTAAACCCTAAACCCTAAACCGTAAACCCAAAGCACCAGACAGTTCAGGGCCATGTAAGAGAAAGAAGCATGGCCATTCTCGGGTTCAGGGCCTGGGGCTTGGGGTGGAGATTGGTGGCAGTGATTGGGTTTAGGGTTTAGGGTTTAGGCTTCAGGGTTTAGGCTTTAGGGTTTTGGGTTTTGGGTTTTGGGTTTAGGGTTTAGGGTTTAGGCTTCAAGCAACAAATGATGTCTAAACCCACCGCCCTAAACCCGGACGGGCCTGCAGGCTGCCGTTTGGCAGGTGGGTAGCTTTGGATCCCCAGCAGGCTACGGCGCTCTCCTCCAAGCCCTAAACCCTAAACCCTAAACTCCTAAACCCTAAACTCCTTAACCCTAAACCCTAAACTCCTAAATCCTAAACCCTAAACCCTAAACCCTAAACCCCAAAACTCCTAAACCCTGAACCCTACTCTCCTAAACTCCCAAACCCTACACTCCTAAACTCCTAAACCCTAAACCCTAAACCCTACTCTCCTAAACTCCTAAACCCTGAACCCTAACCCGAACCCGCCGAAAAGTTCAGGGTTTCGGGGATCCGGAACTACGCAGATGGGAGTTGTCTGGACTATATCAGGGTTCCTTCAAAGGTTTAGGGTTTAGGGTCTAGGGTTGAGGGTATAGGGGGTTTAGGGTTTAGGGTCTAGGGTTTAGGGTTTAGGGTGCCTATAGTCTCCATTCTTTGCAGGTACCTACCTTAACCTACCGAAACCCACATTTTTGTGGGTTCTTATTGTAAGCCCCAATATGGAATTATTTGGGACCCTACAAAAACGTCGGTTCTAGTGGGTTAAAGTTAAGGTTTAGTCTCCATTGTAGTTCCTTCTTTTGGTTTAACCGAGTCTATATGAAGGAACCAAAAAAGGTAGCCCCAAGAAGGAACTGGAATGGAGACTATAGGTATTCAGTCTTCGATTTTGGTCGGAGCTCCCGGATAGTCTAGATGCAAAGCCCTAAACCCTAAACCCTAAACCCTAAACCCTAAACTCTAAGGAGTTCGCTGTCGCCAGGATCCCACAGAAAGGCGCCCCCGAATTCGCAACCCATGTCCGGCCCAGACCGATGGGGTCCAAGTACCTTTAGCTTAAGAACCCAAAACCTATTTGTTTAGGGTTTATAATAAGAACCTACAAGGGCTTTAGGGGTTTAGGGTTTAGGGTTTAAGGGTTTACCTTAACCCACTAGAACCTACTTTTTTGTAGGGTCCCTATTAATCCCATATTAGGGTTTATAATAAGAACCTACAACAAAGTGGGTTTTGAGGGTTCTTAAGGTACCTTAAGCCCTAAAAGCGCCATTTGACCGGATTTACATGAAACGCCATAAGCCGTAGATCGCAGAGCAAGTGATACCAAATGTTTGGCTTTATCTATGCTTTGAAATCCCAGAGATAGCAACTGGTATCCCCGCAACGTCGCGGCTTGGACCCTCAGGGTGAGGTGCGCGGCTCTTTCAATCTAGCCCCAACTTCAAGGGTCCCAAGTAGCTATGGAAGTTTCCGAAAACAAGGGGGACCTTATTTTGGGGGGGTCCTGATAATAAGGATCCTACTATTTAGGCTACTATATGAGGGTCCCCTATTGTCGGAAACCCCCATTTGGTGAATGGGGTTTCTGTATTAGGAATTACCATGATGATTTGGGGAACTGTCCCCCATAACAGTACCTAGGACCCTTTTGGGTTTAGGAGTCAGACTTTCTGTCAACGACTTGTGAACTTCGGGCAGTCGCAGTGTGCATACGTACAGGGGCAGAGCTTAGTCACATTATTCGATCCACACCATAAGCGGGATGCGCAGTCGCGGGTGTCGCATCATCCACTGTCTACATGGGATGTGTTCGCTGCTTGTTTGAGATCGGGGAGGTTTGCTTGCTCAAGCTGTGCTTTGTCTAGACGGTGTCTACGTTGTTGCTTCATCCTGGCAGCGCCGTTGCGAGTGCTGTGTGATGCGGTGTCTACATTCTGGTTTTACGACGCTGGCTTTTGTTTGTCTTTGCGTCGCTGTTGTTGCCTAATGCGGCGTCTACATATGGATTCGTGCTTTCTGTTGCTGTTTGTTGTTGAGTGCAGTGTCTGCCGGGCGTCTACATGGAGATTTGCGTTTGTTTCCGAGTGCGTCCTGGTGGTTGTCCTTCGTTGCGGCTTCCACATGAATAGTTGTCCCACAGTTTTACAATGTTAGTCACGTCACTGAGATATTGGAGGAGGTGGAGCAGCTCCTTTTTCCCCTGAAGCGAGCGATGTGTTTTCAATGCTATCCTGTTGACGCAAAACGAGTCCCGAAGCCGCTGCTGAACTTGAAAGTCGAAGTATAGGGGTCGGAATCATCAGCAATTCAAAGCTATTCCCGCGGGTTCTTGATCATAGCCCTACCATCATGTACTCCAAACCCCTATTCTATTCCAGGCCCGTTCTGGAGCCCTAAGGCCCTAAGGCTCCAAGATACTCTCCCAAATAGTAACATACATAAGTACTTTTTGAAACCTAAGTATAGTCTCCATTGTAGTTCCTTTTTGGTTTAATCAATTTTATATAAAGGCTCCTATCAGGTAACCCAAAAAGGAACTACAATGGAGACCATCATTAAGTACCTAATTATTGGGTCCTTTGGAGGCTACAGAAACCTAGGAGGATCTCTTAGCGAGCCTCCCTTTCTTTTCTCAAAAGAGAGAGACGGCGCTTGCCACTTGGCAGACGCGGCCCCACTTCCAGGTGCCGTATTGATTTAAAGTAAACCCTAAACCCTAAACCCTAAACCCTAAACCCTAAACCCCAAACCCCAAACCCCAAACCCTAAACCCTAAACCCTAAAACCCTAAACCCTAAGCCCTTAGGAAGCTAGGAAGAGGAAGTTAGGGCTTGGGGCTCAGGAAGTCCGGGCTTTGTGCTTTGGGAACCCAGAGACTCCAAAACCCCTTACTTAAGGAATATACCTTAAATCTTATTAGGGTTTAGGGTTTAGGGTTTAGGGTTTAGGGTTTAGGGTTTAGGGTTAAGGAATATACCTTAAATCTTATTAGGGTTCCTATTATATTTAAGGGGTTTTGGAGTCTCTGGCAGCTTAGGCTTGAGGGTTAAGGAGCTAGCAAACCATGTTGAGAGAAGTGTCTTGATTTAGATGTTAGCAGTGGAGTGCTGAGATGACCTGCACAGCCCCCTGGACTCCACCCACTTAGTTGTTACAAAAAGCCCTAACTGCTCTCCGATTGCATGGAGCGTGTGCTGAACGTTCTGCTTCGCCGTTCACGAGTTTACAGCATCTATGAGAACGGTGGCATTACGTTGGTTTCTCTGGGCTTCAGAAATTTAGGGTTTAGGGTTTAGACTTTAGGGTTTAGGGTTTAGTTGGGAATCCTGCGCTTCGGTTCCTTCTATCAAGTATCCTACTATTTAAGTTCTGTGTGAGGGCCCCCTGTCTTCTGAAACGCTGATATCAAGCGGCACCTTGTCAGAACAATTTTCAAGCGCCTCTCTGCGTTGAAAAAGGGTGTCCTCGGGGCTCACGAAGTCGAGACATCTACGGCTTAGGGTTTAGGGTTTAGGGTTTAGGGTGAAGCCGAAAAACCCGAAACCCCCAAGGCCCACATCCTTCCCGTCGGCTCCATTATATAGTTCCCTTTTGTGGTTTCTATTTAGGATCCCCATAGGGTATTCCCACAAAGGGGACTACTATGCAGCCTATGGGTAAACAAACCCTAGAACCCTGAAGCCGCAAAAGGCCCCGAAACCCCCAAACCCTACCCAGAAAGCCTAATACCCCTGAATTAAGGAATATACTTTAAATCCCAATATCAAGGCCCCTATAACTTAAGGTATATGCCCTATTTAGGGGTTTTGGGTTCTCTGGGCAGAAGCCCCAAACCCCAAGCCTCCCGCAACCAGACAAAGAAGGCCAAACCCCAAGAACGGGGTGACTCCCCAGGTCTTAGCCATCATTATTTTCGGAGCTCCAACACCTTAAAGGGGTTTAGGGCTTAAGGTTTAGGGTTTAGGGTTGTAGCGCTCATACCTTCTTGAACCCTATAAGCCTTATAAAGCCCTTTAATACACAGGCTTGATTAGTGCTCGCCCGGCCAGATTTCCCGCAGCACATCGCACCCTAAAGCGCCCTAAACCCGAGACCCTGAACCCTAAGACCTATACTATTTTGGTTCCTTGTTATATCTATGGTATAATAGGCCCCAAAACCCTATTCTAATTGTTAAGGCCCTTACATTAGACCCAGACGCCCGAAACCCTAAACCTTAAGCCCTATAGACCCTAAACCCTAAACCTTAAGCCCTATAGACCCTAAACCCAAAACTAAAGCCGAAGGCCCAAACCTAAACTAAAGCCGAAGGCCCTGTATAAACCCTAAACTATAAAGCCGACGGCCCTAAAGCCCCCAAGAGCTTGAAAAGCTGGCGCTGCCGGGTTCTAGGCCTTGCGGGGGGGGGGGGGGCTTNNTAGGGTTTAGGGTTGTGGGGGGGGGACGCCCAGACCCTCCAATATCCCCTTGACAAAGGAATGTAGCTTGTATAGGGTGGCGTAAAGGGATCTATACGGACGGATTTCTATAAGGGTGCTATAAGAGATAAGGAATACACCTAGAATCATAGTAGGATCCTTAATCTGGTTTAAGGTATACAACGGTATTTTTCCTTAATTAAAGGATGTTGGAAGGTCTGGGCATCGCAGCCATTGAGCGCGTAGTCATGTACGCTCTAGAACCCGGAAGACCTGAACTAGAGGGACTTTGCTTCTGATGTAACATGGTACAGCGACTCTCGGAAGGAAAATACAGACCACCTTGAGCCCTGAACCAGTTTAATGGTTCAGGGTTTAGGGTTACCCTAAACCCTAAACCCTAAACCCTAAACCTCTAAACCCTAAACCTTAAACCCTAGGGCAGAACACCTTAAGCCCTAAACCCTGAACGCTCGATCCCTTCCTGAAGCTCGTGTCTAGACTTGAGGCTGTGACCGTTTGCGGCGCTCCAAAGACGCTCCTCGTCGGCAACTGGGTGGTTGAACATAGAGGGTTGAGTACTATAGGTTCCTGAGTAGTACCCTTTTGCCCTGTTTATTTTGGTGTCTCCTTATTAAAAACCGAATACTAGGAAAAAGGGTACTCTTATTATTTACGGGTCACTCAGGAATCTCGAGTATTTGCAACTAAGGTTTTTTAGGGTTCCTTCATTCTTCTAGACTAGACAGCACGCATAAGGCAGCCCCCTTTTATACTTGCCTGCTTAACGGAGATGAGCAGAACAACTTGGCTTTAGATTCCGAACCGTATAATCCCAACTCCCGGGCACCGAATCCCCAAGACCGCTGGCCGAACCCCAGCATCGTTAGGTCCCTACAGCCTCTCAGGCCTAAAGCCACGAACCCGACGTCAGAACTTCCGGCAAACAAGGCCCTAAACCGATAGACCCCTGCCTAAACCCTAAACCCTAAACCCCGAAACCCTAAACCCTAAACCCCTAAACCCTAAACCCTAAACCCTAAACCCGAACCCATAAGGATTTTGGCCTCCTAGGAGATCTTTGAGGAGCCTTTAAGGCCTCTCCCTGAGGTGGGCCATGCAATTCCTCGAGGAGACGGAAAGGCTATGGCCGTGGCTTTGGAGTTTTTAGGGTTCAGGGGTTTAGGGTTTAGGGTTTAGGGTTGGAGTTTTTAGGGTTTCGGGGTTCAGGGTTTGGGGTTTAGGGTTTCCGAGCTCCACTTTGTGTGAAAAGAGGTTTCAAGGTTTAGGGGTTAAGGCCTAGTTCAGGGTTCCTAGAATGGGCTTTGGGGTTTTGCGTGGGGGTTTTAGGCCTTAGGGCTGGGGGCTGGGGGGTTTTTAGAGTTTAGGGGTTTAGGGCATTATGGTCTTAGGGTTTAGGGGTTACGGGTTTCATTAGTCAAGGCCCTACCTTATAATTTTACAAACATCGACAGTCACACAAGGGCGGTAGCGTCTGTAGGGCGCGAAATGTGTAGGTTGCGAAACAGGAAGGGTGTGCAAACATCAATCTGGGAGATGTGTATGGAGGTGCTGAACTGTTGCAAGCCGGGTGGTAATTATGCAGGGTATTGCCTGAGCCCTAAACCCTAAAGCGTGACCGGCGACAGATGCTCAAAGTAGGCCAAACACCCAAGCCAACCAGAACCTGCTCTTTTTCTAAACCCGAAGAGGATATGTAGGGACCCTACAAAAAAGTAGCTTTCGATTGTTTGAGGTGTACCCTGCTTGTAACTTTCTACCGAGAGGCCTTCCTGAACGGCATCCCACCCCGTTAAACCCTAAACACTAAACCCTGAACTCTAAACCCTGAACCCTAAAGCCTAAACCCTAAACCCTAAACCCTGAACCCTAAACCCTAAAGGGTTTTTCTGAACACAGCATATCTGCAGGGCCTGGGGCCGAGGGCTCCGGGCTCACACAGAAGTTATTGCCTTGACCGTAAACCGCAAGATTCGCGGGCCCTAAACCCTAAACCCTAAACCCTAAACCCTAAACCCTAAACCCTAAACCCTAAACCCTAAACCCCAAGCCAAACACCGCTTTCCAACCCTTGGGCCGACGAAAAGGGCCGCGCAAAGGAACAACTCTAAGCCCCAATACCTTAAGAACCCAAAACCTACTTTTTTCGTAGGGCCCCTGTAAATCCCATATTAGGGTTTATAATAAGAACCTACAAAAAAGGAGGGTTTTGGGTTAAACCGTAAACCCTAAGCTCTAAACAGAAGAGGGCCCCGACCTGAACCCCTCAGCCAAAACCGTCCCCTGGCAGTTCTCCGCGCTGCTGGTATGGAGCATCTGTGGCTAACTCGGCGGATTCTTCCCGATTTAGGGTCTAGTCCAGGGTTTGTAATTTAAGGAATGTGGAAACAGATCGTAATCAGAGTTGAATCATGCAGAGCAAACCCTAAACACTCAACAACCCCAAACTCTAAGCCCTACTTAATCCGTAGGTTGAGACCCGAAGTCAGGAAGTCTTGTCCCAATCCCCGTTAATTCAGGGGTCGGAAGAACGACTCCCTACAGCCCCCAATGTAAGACGATATAGCTATAGCATGTTTTACCAAGAACCCTATTCTAATTATCCAGACCCCTAGAATAGCCGTCTTCGCTGTAGGGCAAACCCCTACAATGCAGTTCAGGCGGGTCCTGCATCTTCAACCCAGAGGCAGATTTCATATTGCGGTTAAGGCAGCGACAGGCTCTGCCTTGAATTTTAGGGTTCAATATACCCAGGGCACAAAGAGGAGGATCCAAAAAGTAGATCCCTTCAAGGGGGTTCTTATAAAGTACCCTTTAGTAGTTTAGGGGATCTACTTTCTAGATCCTCCCAGGGGTCTGGGTACAGGTCCGAAGATTTAGTCAGATAGAGTATCCTCTTCTGGTCCAGAATGCCCCCTATGCTCCGAATGCCAAACCCTTGACAAAATATTGAGGTCCTCTATCAGGGTGAAGCCAAGCCACAGGCAAAAGATTGCGCAAGGGTGATTTTGACTAGCTGAGTCTAGTCATGTTTCTCCACAACTCAGTCAAATTTCTTTTGCACCTCCAATTGGGTTTAAATTCGGTGTTGGCCACCATCTACTGAGCATCCAGCAGAATTCGCGACCGGTCAGAATTTTCTTGGGATACTGGCAACAACAGCCTGCCTCCTGTGAATAGACAGTCCTTTGAAACTTTAAGCCCCAAACTAGTCCTGATCATGGAAACTAAACCCTACTGTAGGTTTGAACAGCTCCGGTGCAGGCAATAAGCTTTGGAAGACAGGGTTCTGTAGCTGTCGGTTTAGGGTGTTGAGCATTAGGGTAGGGTTTAGCTGTAAGACAAAATAGGAGAACTCGAGCTACAAAGGGACCCTCCATCATGTAGACCAGAGCCTACGAGCCTTCTGAGGAAGCAACGCGGAATTGCAGGAATATGCCTGCACCATGACGATAACATCAAGTATGTGCAGAAGAGTTGTGTCAACTTGCGGTAGCTTCTGGAGCTTCGTGTGGTATGTCCGCAATGCCGTTGGTGTCAAGCTCAGCATAGTCGCGATGCCGACAGGATGCCCACCCATAGCGCTAGACGGCAGAGTGAAAATTCTGCACGCGCAGCATGGCTACCGCCATAATGGGGATACGGCCGCAGAAATCCTGATGAGCGAGGCTTGCCGCTTTATGCAAGCTTCACCGAAGTCGGCAGCGAGCACTTCGAACTCAATGTTGACTCCTTTTGCGTCGCCAACCGCAAGCGTCGGCATAGCAGTTGAGGCGCTCGAGGAAGTGGAAGAGGTCAAAGCCAGTATCGAGATTACGAGTGGGGAGGTGCAAGAATGGAAACCACAAGACTTTCAGTTTCAAAGGACGTTAGAGAGCCCCGGTAGCATGTTGAGTTACGTATATTCAACCGGTGCGAGTGTGTGCGCGTATGTATGTATGTATGTATGTATGTATGTATGTATGTATGTATGTATGTATGTATGTATGTATGTATGTATGTATATATGTGTGTGTGTATAGATACCCTCCCCCTGAATCCACATGTCAGTATAGTCCTGGTCTCTGCGCATGATGNNTGATGCAGAGGACAAACAGACATCCGGAAAAGTCGATTAAAGCATAAACCCTAAAGTTCAAGTTCAGAAACGTTTAGGGTAAACCTCAAGCTAAGCTACACCTGCGCACCCAAGCAAGGTTCATTGCACAAAAATAGCATCTGAGGATGGACGACAAACCAATCCAAAAATGTTGGTGAAGCCAGGTTCCACCCAGAGAGCCCAAGACCCCTGAATAAGGACTATACCTTAGATTATAGGACCCTGAATATCATGATTTAAGGTGTATATACCTTATTAAGAACATACCTTAAACTCTAGGGCCCTTAATATCATGATTTAAGTATATTCCTTAATTAAGTGGTATGGGGTTTTTTGTGGGACCAAGTTGCAACCCGAGGAGGGCTGGTCGTAATCAGGGCACAGTGGACTTAATGAAGTGCATCAAGGATGGCAGCTTCGTCGCAGTCACTGGGCCGTATCCGAACAGATACGCTTTTTGAGGTTTAGGTTTAGTTTTCCTTATTGATGTGGTAAATCTTTACTTAAGAGGCAGGAAAACATGTTCAAGGGCCAGCAAGAGCAAGCCAGGTCAAGGTCATGCCAATCTCCTGGACCTCTACAAGCGCCCAGGGGTGAGTCGTTAGCGCTTTCTCCGCTTGCAGTCAGTTACTGACGATGTTCGTGATGGTTCGTCTTTTTATGGTTAGTGTGGATCCCTGATGTATAAGGCCTCGTGTGTTTCTTCAAGCGTCGCCATGATGGTTCCTAGTTCTTCCTTGCATGAAGGCCACCAGCAACATCTATGGGGTCACCCCGAAGATCCCGAGAATCCTTGGGCGGACTTGGGCATCGTTCGGTACCTGAGCAAGAAGGGAGCCAAGTTCCAGTGCCGCTTGCATGGTATTTTCCGCGATAGCGAGCGGCTTTATTGCGTCTCCGAACTCGCAACAGCGTCTTAGCAGTCGATCAAGTAAACCTTTGACACGTTTTTAGGTAGTAGAAGTTCTGTAGAATCCCATCCCACAGTCAACCCGCCGTCCCTTTGAGGACTTTTTGCTAAACCTTGAATTTCTGAACGCAAGGAAGGCGATTTCTTCACTTTTGTGAGCCATGGACCGGAACCTGGTCCCCAGAGAGAAGATGCGCTGAGACCCTTCATGGTGCAGCTGTTTTCGGCCATGAGAAACTTACCTGTATACTCTGTATACCCAAACGCCACGTTTGTTTCGGCGATCTTTTAAGAAATCATAAGATATATCACGAAACACTGGGAAACAGGTAGTAGTAGAGAAGACAGCTCTTGACAGTTCTGGTGTACAATAACCCCTATATCATCCCAAAGCTTAACCTTCAAACCTACACCCTAAACCCTAAACCCTTCCTCGAAGAAACTTCCAAAGTGAGGATTTCTACATGATCACTACATCGCCCACTGCGACATCTCGATGGAGAACATCCTTGTGACCAAGAACTCCACGGATGGTCATCTCGAAGTAAAGGCCTACACTACTTTCACGGAACTGGGTCTCCCAAAACATACTAAGGACGGCTCTTGTCGGACCCCATTCCATCACGGTAGTATGTATGAACCCCCTGTGTTTTAAACCCACTAATTCCTAAACCCTGCACCTGATACCCCATGTTAGGAACCCATAGACCCGAAACTCTAAACGGGATTGTGTTTGCAGTCCAGATGCCTCGCCTGGATTGTCCGAGTGTGAGCGTCGAAACCCTAAGCCCCTAAACACCTAAACTGTAAACTTCAAAATCCTAAACCCTAACCCCTAAAACCCACCCTAAACCCTAAGCCCTGAAACCCCCTAAACCCTAAAACCCTAATTAAACCCTAAACCCTGAAACCCCCTAAAACCCTAAACCCTAAAACCTAAACCCTAGAGGGAAAAAAAACCTAAACCCTAAACCCTCTTGGGAGGTCATCGACTTCAGCATGGCCGTCCTTGGCGAGAAGCTGACTTCTGGCCATCGTGGGAAGCCCTCCTACATGGCTCCAGAGATGGCTCTCACGCCCCCTTTTTGTGTTCTATGAATGGGTTTAGGGTTTAGGGTTTAGGGGTTTAGGGTTTATGTCTATCTATATAATATGGGTAGTTCTCTAAATTAGAGTCCCTCTCTCTAGGTCCCCAATCTCGCTTTTGTCTTAACGTAGGGGCCTTAATAATTCCAATAGATTTTGGAGTATATTACGCTAACTATAGTAAGGAACCCCCAAAACCCTATTCTAATTGTTAAGGTCCTTGTCTTCTGTTTAGGGTTTAGGGCTTCGCGATTTAGGACCCGAGAGGGACCCTATTTTAGAAAACTACCCAGAT